GCAGGAAGGACTCTTTCTAGTATCATCTCTGGTCATTCATCAGTGATGAATGGGTTGCATACCTCTGAAGAGACACTGTCGGTTCAGGACTCAGAAGGGGCTCCCGAGCCAGCTCCTCGCCGCTGGCAGAGCCCCAGGTCGCTACTGGCAGCCCCGACTGCACCGCAGTTTCTCAGTGTAAGGTGGTGGATGATTCCTCATCCTCATGCGGCTGCCCTGGTATAACCCTGCCCCTTGGAACAGCACCATGGCTGCCGAAAACCAGGCAGATACCCACCCTCAGTCATGGCTCCAATCCTGTTTCCAAGCCCAAGCCGTGACAGGGAGTTGGACCAGGAGCTGCACTGGCCTAGCTGTGATGCTGTGGATTTCCACAGGGCACCCAAACAGCAGAGGAGCTCCCTCACAAGAAAAAAGGGACCCCAGTTCCCCAGTAGTCTTCACCTACAGGGAGCAACCTTCAGCAAGGGCTGGAGTCCAGCTCAGTTTTATTCCTTGTTCTCTTGTGGGTTCATCTCTGCAGGATTCTGCATCTCTGCTCCTCACACTACCTGAAGGAGAGGAGAGGAGAGAAAGGAAAGGGAAAAGAGAGAAAAGAGAGAAAAGAGAAGATAATAAAAGATTTGGATTTGTTGGAATTTTCGGTGAAAAGCCTCATGGAAACCAGGGATTTTAAGCAGAATGAAGATTTTATGTGAACACACCTCAGTTTAAACGATTTGGTGCTGCGTGTGATTTACCTGCAAGTAAAGCCAGCAGCCAAATAAATCCCGATGGACCGGGGACTTTAAAACCACCCTAAAGAGAATTAAAGGTAAAGCTTGGGCGGTAGAACCTGGCTACCCACAGCCCTGGCCTTGACGAGGGTGCTGCACAAGGAAGGTCTTTCCTTGCCAGTTTGAAAGTAATTAATTTTTTATGAGTTTTCATAAACTTCGTTATTCTGTCATCAAATATGCCAGCCATGGTCTGACACTTCGTCTCATAGGTAATCTAAATAATGCTCCGAAGGACAAAGATTTAATGAATACATGGTCTGAGAGTGGACATTCGGTGAACATCTCTGTTGGTCCAGCAGCATTCTAAGGACTCTTCGATGCTTTTGACGTTATCAGTAACTCAAGTGAAGATCCAACTTACACCCTTTCCCTAAATTAAGGAGATTACAACTTTAAACATAAGTCTTTCTAGGAAGAAATTGAGTGATTGATAACTGCTATTTCAATAATTATGGCACTCTTAAAAATAAAAGGGCAAGGACGTGAAGCACATCGAAACATGGGCCGTTTCCCTACTAAGCATCACCCGGAGTTCGAGGTACCTCCCTCCACCAAAGCTCCCGGGTGGCTGAGTGGAGAACGCTCCCCAAAAGCCCGGACCGAAATATAGCGGGTGATTACCCAGGTACCCCCCCGAGGGGCTACCTGCACCCCGGCCTTGCCAGCAGTGCTGCCGGCTCGGCTAGCAACACTCCATGAACTCCCACCTCTCTGGCAATCCTGACGAGACCTCTAGAGTGGGGGCTTCTTCCCAGAGGTTTTTGTTTTTTTTTTTTAATGCAATACTTAACGCACATCAAAGGTTAAAAAAATGTATTCTCACCACTGCTGCGTTTGGAAACTCCATCTGGATGAATAATCCCCAGGGACTGAGATTCTTGGTCCCAGGACAGCTGCTAACTGCTGATACAAAGAAGTATAGATACGTTGCTCAGCATATTTTTGCTTTAAGTCTCTGTCCGTAGGCCAAAGCGCACACCGTTTCGATGCAAGCCGTCGGGATGGTGTGGATTGCTGGCAGTATATTTGATCTTTTTTTATTTTTTTTTTTTTTTTTAGTGTACAGTTTTATTCCTTGTTCTCGTGTGGGTTCATCTCTGAAGGGTTCTGCATCTCTGCTCCTCACGCTACCTGTAGCAAAGGGTCAGAGTCCTGACCTGAATTAAGGTAGTTACTACTGCCGGCTGTTAATGTCACGAGTAGTGTCGCTATTATATGGGGCGTGGGGGAGAAATAAAAGGTGGGAAAAGACAGGGGCGAAGCGGACACGACCGATCGCGCCCAGGCTCGCAGCCAGCTCTAATGGGACACAGGGCTGAGGCGGGAGCCGGGACGCCTCAGGACCCCGGCCTTTCCCGGGAGCCCTCCCGGACGCGGTACCGAGTCCCGCGGCGGTGAGGGTTTCGCTCCGATCGCAGATGGGGGCAAATCCCTGCCCAGCGGTAAAGCGGGGGAAAACCTGTCGGGGTCCCCGCCCTGATGAAACCTCCGAAGAGGTGGAAAAGGGACGGAGCGGGGGCCCTTTGGAGCTGATGTCTCTCGGCATTGATAGAACAGAACCTCCAGGTCCTTCCCCAGCCGGGGACAACCACGTCCCCGCTGGGCTGTGCCACTTCCCAAACACAGAGCCCGGTGTTCACAGCTGGAGAGGGCGCAGAGCTGCTGGGGCTGGGCTGATATTCCCTCACGGGTCACCCTTTAAATGCTTAACACAGGGTTCCAGGGTCCATTGTGGTGTTGCCTTTTCTTTTTGTTCCTCTCCCCTCCCAGCAGAGATTCCAGCATCTCCTCATCCAGGCCGGTTTCTGGGGAACAAAGCCTGGGGACCTGGGGGAAAGCCAGCCCCTCACCCTGTGAGGTGCTCTTGCTGCTCCTAATGAGGATCATTTCTTTAGCCTACAGTCCCGGCTTTCATTATGGAGCCTGTCTCGGTCCGTTAATGGTCATTAGGCTGCAGCCCAGTAAGTCCCCCGCCAGATCATGTGCATGCTAAAAAAAAATAAAAATAAAAATAAAATAAGAATAATAAAAAATGTCTTTAGTGATATTAGTCATCATCTCCATGATCATCATCTGGCCTGTGTAAATTAGCTACCCATTAACACAGACATTCCACCCTTCCACCTCTCTCGAAGCAGAGGTTTTTCTCCACGAGTCCCAGTTCTGAATGCTTTGCGAGTTTCGGGGGGCTAGCACCTTGCCTGCCCGCGGCTCTCCGTCTTTTTTCCTGCTGGCTCAGACCGAGGAGGTTTGGGGAGGTTATTTCTTTCCAAAAATGTTATTTGGGATCTTTCGTTGAGCTTTGCTCTGGCAGAGAGGACAGGGATGCGGAGGAAGGGGACTGCAATATTTGTAGTTGCTATTTTCCTTTTCTCTGATATATTTTTCCTCCCCCCTTTTTTCCCTAAGCAGATCGGCAAATCAAACCTGGGTCTGCAAAGTGAAGCCGAAGAGTCTCCCTTTCTATATTTTAACTTTTTGTGGAGTGTCTCTGAGCTCGTGAGTTTTGTGTGTGCTTTTATGTCTCCTCAGCTCTGTCGGATTTTATGAAAATGAGCAGTATTGAAAGCTTTTCCATCCCGCTAGCTGTGAGCCTCACATAAATGATGTAAATGGCTCGAAGGGTTTTTTTCAAGTGAACTGTGTAGATCTGTGAAAATAATATCAGGGTTTTCCGTCAGAATGAGCTTAGCACTGTACTGAGGCATACCATAATCTGACCCGACACCTCCGACCATCTGCGCTATCTATCTGCCTTCTGATTTACCAAATCTTCACAAGCAAAAGACAAATTGTACTTGATACTAAAGAAAAGAAGCCGAGCCCCAGTCCAGCTCCATTTCTGCGGAGAAATGATTGGAGAAAATGTAAATGTGTTTAATTTCGGTCTGTGGGCAACTAGCAAAGGAGCTTTCTTGAAGAAGGGAAAAAAGGAAAACAAAAATAAAATGAGAAAAAATAAGGAAAAGGGAAACAAAAAACAGGAAGGAAAATAACAAGATATCAAATTAAGAAGGGATTTCTTTGACAAGCGTTCTAGAAGAAAAATGCATTGCAAAGAGCAGAAGAGAGAACATATTGAGCTTAATTCAAAATATATGCTGCCTTTCTGAGCATGGTCCCTAATGTTACTGGGAATAAACTGCCACCGAGCAGCTAGATTTAGAATAAAAAGCGATTGCCTTCTTGATTTCCCCCCTTCTCTCCAGAAAACAGCTCATACCCTCACCGCTCAGAAAGCGATTTCATCCCCGCCGCGACGCCCGCGGCTTGCCCCTCTCCTCCGAAGGGGCGGATCGGGAAAAATCCGCTGGGAATGATTACTACGAGGTGATCAATATTTCAAAAGATTCCTGAAATCTGCTTTAAGTTACTGTCCTGACCTACAAATGACTTCTCACTCCCCGCGACTATTCTTGGCGTCTATTCAGGACCATTCAGCTGAAAACAATAAGGTTTTAAATGTTAACATATATGTATAGTATATAAAGCTTTAGTTGAACGGAGAAGGGCATTGGGCTCTTTGTAGATAATTTCTCGTTTTAACAGAGACGGACAATCACCAGCAAGGGGAAGGGGGGGGAGAGTTTTTCCTAAATCTTGGCTCTTGCTGCGGTCCTCCCGCTGCACTGGTAGTCACCGACACCCTCAGCACCGACACTGTCACTGTTGTGCAGTCAGGTTTTTATCTGGTTTCTCAGCTCTGCCTTATGCCCCTCTCCAACCCGCGGTGCTCAGAGCTGTGTGAGTACAGCCCCGGGCCAAAGCCCACAGCTTTCTTTTAGAGGGTGCAGGGGGTACCGGCCACTCCATCGCGGGGACCGCTCCCTCCAACTTCCTGGCAGCAAACCGCACCCGGTGTCCCCCTTCCCCTGCTCTGCCCCTGCTCGCGCGGTGGCCCCGGGGGAGCGGAACGGGACAGGACGGGCGCCCCGGGAAGCAGGCGGGGAGCGGGCGGGGAGGTGCCGGCGACGGCGGCGCGGGGACTTCCGCCTTGATTGGCAGCAGCTGACAGTGAGTGGCAGCCCCGCCATGGAAACCCGGGAGCCAATCTGCCGAGCCCGGCAGCAAATCAGGCGCTCCCGCAGCAGCGCGGCGGCGGCGCGGAGCCGGCTTGTGCCTTTTCTGGTTCCCTTTTATTATTATTATTCTTTCCTTTTTTTTTTCTCTCTTCCTTTTTCTCCCTTCCCTCCCTCCCCGCCCGCCCGCCCTCCCCCCGCTCCATCCTCCTCCGCCTCGCCCCTGCCCACCGCCCCCAGTCGCCGGAGCCGCCGAGCGCTCCCCATCGTCTCTCCATCCTCTTCCGTCCTTCCCGCCGCAACTCCGCCAGCTCCGGAGGAGGCAGAAGCGGAGCGAGGGGCGGGCGCCGGGGCCGCTGCCCGCTTCCCGGTGCGGGCATCGCCGGGGGAGCGCGGAGCGCGGAGCGGAGCCCGGCGCCGCCTCCATGTTCCAGCTGCCCATCCTCAATTTCAGCCCGCAGCAGGTGGCCGGGGTCTGCGAGACCCTGGAGGAGAGCGGGGACATCGAGCGCCTGGGGCGCTTCCTCTGGTCCCTGCCCGTGGCCCCTGCCGCCTGCGAGGCCCTCAACAAGAACGAGTCGGTGCTGAGAGCCCGGGCCATAGTGGCCTTCCACACGGGGAACTACCGGGAGCTCTACCACATCCTGGAGAACCACAAGTTCACCAAGGAGTCTCACGCCAAACTGCAAGCGCTCTGGCTGGAAGCGCATTACCAGGAGGCAGAGAAGCTGCGGGGCCGACCCCTGGGGCCGGTGGACAAGTACCGGGTGAGAAAGAAGTTCCCTCTGCCCCGCACCATCTGGGACGGCGAGCAGAAGACACATTGCTTCAAGGAGCGGACGAGGCATTTGCTGCGGGAGTGGTACCTGCAGGACCCTTATCCCAACCCCAGCAAAAAGCGGGAACTGGCTCAGGCCACCGGACTTACCCCCACGCAAGTGGGCAACTGGTTCAAAAACCGCAGGCAAAGGGACAGGGCGGCAGCCGCTAAGAACAGGTAAGGTGCTGCCCGTCCCGCCGGGGCACAGGCCACCCTCCACTCAGGGAGACTTCTCTCGCAGGGGCCGGGGGTCCGGTGCGATGCAGCCCGGCCCCGGACAGCCCCGCCGTGGGGACGTGAAAACGACCCCGGGGAGTTTCTCCCCGGGAAATGCAGCGAGATAACGTAGGAGCAACGGGACAACCCGACGGCTTTTTATCTATTTATTTATTTCTAATAGGGGGTTCCCTTGGCCGCTCGCGGGAAGCGGAACGAGGGCCCTCCAGGCTGGCGGAGCTGCAATGATCCCGCATGATCCGCCGGCAGAAGGGCCGCGTTTAGCGGCCGAGCGGAGAGAAACCCCCCTTCTAAGTTTTGCTTGGACATATAGGAGCCTATTTCATATATGTCCAGCCGGAGCAGGGCCGGCAATGTTCCTTTCGGGCCCTGCTCGTTTGCAGGGAGCCGCTTTCTCCTAAACCCCGCTGGAGCCAGCCGGGATCGTTTCTCGGAATATTTTTCTAATTTTTCTTCTCTCTCCCTTTCTTTCTTCTTTTTATTTTCTTTCTTTCTTCCTTTCTTTTTCTTTTATTTTCCTTTCTTTTTCTTTTCTTTCTCTTTTTTCTTTTCTTTCTTTCTTTCTTTTTTCTTTTCTTTCTTTCTTTCTTTTTTCTTTTCTTTCTTTCTTTCTTTTCTTTCTTTCTTTTCTTTCTTTCTTTCTTTCTTTCTTTCTTTCTTTCTTTCTTTCTTTCTTTCTTTCTTTCTTTCTTTCTTTCTTTCTTTCTTTCTTTCTTTCTTTCTTTCTTTCTTTCTTTCTTTCTTTCTTTCTTTCTCTCTCTCTCTTTCTTTTCTTTCTTTTCTTTTCTTTCTTTCCCTTCATCTTAAAAAAAATCGCGGTATTACCCCTACACAAGCAGATGCCCTGGGAAATGGGAAAGGGAGTCCGATCCCTCGTTATCCCCCCTCCAGCAACCTGGGTGTGGATTGTCCCCAGTTGTGAGCCCGCAGCCGCGCTGAGCGCAGACGGGCGGCCATACATCGGGGAAACGGGTGCTGTTACCCGCAGCCCGTTTCCGTCGGCTGAGAGGGCAGATGTCAGGCCTGCTGGAGGGGCCCCGCCGTCCGAGAGATGCTGCAGGGAATTACAGGGCCCTCGGATGACGCCCAGTTTTGTGGGACAGGCTGCGAAGGGGGACACACACACACAGACGATCGCCTCCCGGGTGTGTAGGCCGAGGAGCAGGGCAGGCCCTGGGGTGGGCATCCAGGTCCTAGGGCAGAGCCTCCAGTCTGACAGGGCTAACTGGTGTGAACTGGAGGTGGGGACAGCGGCTCGGGGGGGGCAGGGGGAGGGGGGATCAAGAGAGCCCCGGCTGGAAGACGGGGGGCTGCAGCCGGTCCCAGGGCACGGCGCCTTGCGATGATGCTGTGTGTGCCGCTTCCTTGCAGGCTGCAGCAGCAGGTCCTAACGCAGGGCTCGGTGCGCTCGCTGCAAGCGGAGGAGGAAAGCGGCGGGGAAGCGGGGGGGGCAGCCTCCAGCCCCGCAGCCAGCCTCTCCAGCAAAGCGGCCACCTCCGCCATCTCCATCACATCCAGCGACAGTGAATGTGACATCTGACCCACCGCCACGGCAATCCGCGGGCTGCGGGGATGGGGGGGCAGCTAAGCGGTGCCCTCCGACACGGCCGGAGCAGCCGGGCTTACCACCACCCGGCCGCGATGGCCAAAGCCGGGTTACGGGGCTCTCCGGGCACAGGCCGCCCGCCCGCGCTCTCTTCCTGGCCCGCAACAGACTGCATAAAAAAACGTGGTAAAAATCGTTGTCGCCTTTATTTCTAAGGATTTGCAGAGTTGATGCCTAAAAAACCCCAAAATAATAAAATAGGAAAAAAAAAAAAAGCCCAGAAAAAAAAAAACCCACACAACAAAAAAACAACAACAAAAATCCCCAAATGCCAAGCTGTAAAATGTCTGAGCGCTGCCCTTATTCCGCGGCGGTGTTTCATGTTGAATTGAAAAGACGCTGTTCTTTTGGTTGGGTTTCGCTTTACTTTAATTTACATTAAATTTGGAGGGGGTTTTATATAAATATATAATATGTTTATTTACTTATTTAAGGGATTGTTATGGTAGATTTTTTCTATTATTATTATTATTAATTATTATTATTTTTTGCTTGTTCTCTGTGTGCACAGGTGACTTGTAGAGCATGTGCAGGACGAAACTGTATGAAGCAGCCTAAACCCATAATAAAATATTTGATGAACGACCCTCGCATCTGCTTTGAAATGACGGTGTCACTCTCAAGCCCGCCAGGTTACGCAGAGCACATCTCCGAGGCCATGGAGATTTCAGCAACCGAAATAGCCGTGTCCCCGTGCCGGCGTGATGTCTTTGCAGGGCAGGGAGCCCGGGGTGGCGGGATGCGGCGAGAGGAGCGGGGCCCGGGCTGGTGGAGGATCGGGGAGGCCGGGGAAGGGAAAGAGAAGGCATCGCTGCAGCTTCTCCTCTCGCAGAGGCCGAGGCTTTGGGGTGTATCGTCGGCGAATTTTTGGACAGGGACGAGAGAAAAGGAAGGCAGAAAAAAAAAGGGGGGGGGGGAATGGTTGGGGACAACCCATCCGGAAAAACCAAGCTTCCTCCCTCACCTGGCAAATGCATGGAGAAGATTCGGAATTAACAGCCCTCCATGCCCCCCAAGGGCCGGATCGGGGGCGAAATAACCCCAAATCCCAGCTCCTGCTATGTGCCCGGGGCTGTGCTCACCATTCCCCTGTGTCGTTGTGTTTGACGGCGATTTTCCTGGAGGGCACCAAAAGCCAGGTCTGAGGATCATGCTAAGCTTTTCCCCCCTAGCAGAAGGATTTTATATTATACAATTTGACATTGATCTTTAAATCGCCTGAGCTGTGCTTTTTTTGTCTGCTCGGTCTCATCGCGTTTACTTCTCTGGCCTCCAAGAGATGCCTCCCCGGTAAGCTGATTGCTCGGCTAGTTTTTTTCGGGAGGCGAAGCCGGGCAGAGCAGTGCCCCAGCTCCCCTGCAACGGCACAGGGGCCATTTCAGCTCCGTGATGGATTTAGTCGGTCGTGCTGCCTTTTCTCGGGAGGTGCATTCCCGTCTCAGCAGTGGTTTTCCCCCCCTCTGTTTGCATTTAAAGCCTGACAGGCGTTGGCACCGCCGGTGTCTAAATCTGCATTTCATTCCCGATGCATGTGCCTTGATTTTCCCCACTGACAGAGACTGGACAGGTAGCAGGTGTTTATTACCTGTCTTTTAAGTCCATTTAACAGGAAACTCTTTTCCCCGCGGGGTGTAATTCAGGGTGTCGGAAGAGGCAAATAATCCGCATTCTGCGAGTGCGGGAAGTGGGGGCAGCGCGGGGTGTTCCAGCTCTATTTTGGGAGGAACCCACCTGCGGAGGGGACCGGAGGGCACCTTGCACCCCAACCCTGCACCCGAGCCCTGATCCGGGTTTGTTGCTGCTTAAACCCCAGGAGATTTTTTCCCAACAGAGCCAAGCAAGGGCAGCCAGGCTTTGCTGCTCAAACCTCAAGCGAGGTCGGGGTTTGCCTTGGTTTGGGGGTAGCGCTTTTCACCTTTGAGGGGGGTTTGGGAAATAAAAGCGGTTACATCCTCAAAACGGAATCTCCTGAAATAAACCGTGCTCTTTCTTTTCTTCCCCGGGAATCAGTGGAGAGGATTGCCATTTCTGCGCTGGCTCCTACGGGCATAACAGCGCTTACTGCTGGGGATTAAAGCTCTCGAAAAGACGTATGAAGAGGTGGAGAATTATATTAATATGTTCGCTCAGCCTCTCATAACGTGGAATTTCTAACTAAAAAAAAAAACAACAAAAAAACCAAACGCATAAAGAAAACAGCCAAGAAACAAATAATACCTCCCACCCCCACCCCCCGCCCTAACAACAACAAAAACACAAACAAACAAAAAAAAACCGGAATTTGGACGACACATATTATTAATATTATGTATTTCGACGAAGGGTTTGAGGGGTATAACGTGTGCTGGACCTCCGGAGTGGGCTGGGGAGGGACACAGCACAAATCAACCGTTTGGGACAGAGAGGAGTGGAGTGCGGAGACACGCTGAGAGGATCAGTCCCGGGCCCCCTTCTTGATGCTGTGGGAGGATGAAGAGGACTGAGCATCTCCCAGGCCCGCTCACCCACAGAGGCCGCGCCCGCCGCCTTCAGTTGTACCGGTAAAACCCACGGAAGAGCCCTGCTTCTTTCCCCTCTTTCTCCCCCTCCTTTTTCTTTTCTTTTTTTTCCCCCTCCTTCTGCCTTTTCCCTTTCCGCATTGAAAGGGAACGCCTTTTCCCTGGCATTTTCAGCAGTTTTATATTTTCCCAAAGATCAGCCCAAGCCATCGCTCTCCCCAGTCTTCGGCTGTTTTAAAAATAATAACAATTATAATCGAGAAAGGGGTGGGGACCTTGTATTTACATTAAACAAAACGCTTAGAAAAGGGTCTCTAAAAAGTCTGCCTTAACCCTTCTCTCTCTATCAAAAGTGAAGTGAATGGGGAGGGTGGATAAGAGAAACAGCTTTTCCTCTTTTTAGCTTGGGGGGGGGGGAGGAGGAGAAGAAATGTTTGAATATTTCCGTTTCTTTTGAGAAGTGGGGCAGCCCCGGGCAGGGCTGAATGGGAAAGTCTTGTAAGCGGGCTGGGAGGCTGTCAAACTGCTCAGGGTAATCACTGCTAATGAAGGGGTCTCCAGGCCTCCCTGGGACAAAGGATGCTTACGAGTGCTTGCCGGGGCTGAATAGCTAATAAGTTTGCAAGGGGGGAAAATGAGTGCGCTGTCCTCAAATTGATTTTGCAAGAGGAAAAAAAAAAAAATAGAAGGAAGGCAAAAGACTTGCAGGTTGGGCAAAGCCTGGCCCCGGTGCAGCTGGGGACAGAAGACCCACTTATTCAGGGCGCATTGTCCCAGCCCCGGCACTGCAGAGGAGGGCTGCTGCTGTTTGCGGTACAAACCCATGTGGAAGGAGGGCTGGGGGATGCAGGAGCCTTGGAAAAGCCACACAGGCCTTTCCAGGCTGGGAGCTCTGCCCCAGCTGCTGCTTAGCACACATGGGTGCTCCCGCCCCAGTCTTTGCGCTCCAGTTTGCACAAGCCTTGCAGAGCACTCATCCCGGCCCCATCCCACAGCCCGATCCCACAGAAGGGAGCAACTGTGCCCTGATTGTTCTGCCACCACCTTTGGCCCCTCGTCCAACTACAGCATTTTCTTTGCAGACAGAAAAAGTGGTGGGTGTGTGAAAGCTCTTGAGTATTTTGCCACCACCAGCACCCTCTTTGGCTGGTAGGGACTGGGGCTGCTTTGACTCGCTGACCTGGGAGCTGGGTGGTATCAGAGGTTAGAAAGGAGACTGTGTTCACCAGGAGGTGTTGGTTTACTGGGAAGTGCCCTTGTGTGACAAGAAGACCATGAACTTCATAGCTGGGGAAGCATAAAAGCAGGCTGCATTTTGGACCTTTCACGCTTGGGAGGATCAAATTCTATTGCAGATCCAGTTACCCCTGGCCAATGCAGGGGTAATACCCTGAGAGAGCTTGTACTACTCCCCAACAGTGTCTGTACCTGCTGGGCACTGACTTTATTGTGTTATTTCTTTCTTTTCCAGAAGGTACAAATGTGTTTGCTGGAGGGGAGGTTGGAGGTGTGGGAAGCCAAAGGGAAAGAGTGCTGTGTGGTGCAGAAATTGCCAGATTTTGAGTTGTTCCCTCCCCAAGGCCAGCCCCAGCACCCACAATGGAGCCCAAACCCTGGGCTGACCTTGGTATGCTCCCACACCAAGGGGGCCTGGAAGGTGAGATCTAGCTGGGAATCAAGGGGAGGAGTATGTCATCTTCAATGCCCTGAGGGATACAGCACTTCTCACTCTCTTGGCATTTATTCTCTGCACTGGAGTGACAGATAAAGCCCTTGGATTTCTGTTCCCTTCTGTTTCAGGACAGGCTGTAAGACCTCCAGCAAAAGGCCAGGAAATGTCTTCTCTTCCTTCATCACTTGCTATGCTTAGTCTAAGCCCTCCCAAAATGCAGAATTCCCTAAAAAACCCATTGTAACCCTGTTGTCTTCTGGTCTGTGACATGGGCCTCTATAGCACACATCTTCCCCTTCAAGAAATGTGGCTTGGAGGGAAGTTTACGGCTTCAAACCTTATAAAAGCAGAGTGGGTTCACATATTTGTTCCTTCTGCCTCCTCACAGAGGTTGGGGAGAGGCACTGTTGCCCTGCACTTGGTTGTCTCCTTACATGTAGCAGAGCTGGTGCTACTCCATCCTAGGAGTGGCATCCCTGGGGCACCAGCCCTCACCACCACTTCCACTATTTTGGTCCCAGAAAGGCTAAAAATGGTGCCAATCACTCAGTGCTCTCCCCTCCCAGGATCTTCTCAAACTACATAACCCAGTGGGCTTTTCTTTCATCTTGGGATTGACCCATAGTGCTGAGCTAAACTCACCTCTGTGGCCTTCCCCACTCTGACCCAAACACATGGCATATGTGGGGTGGGATCTGCTCCCTCCACAGGAAAATGTGTCCCCTCTACAGCAATGCCCAAGGAGGGGTTTGATGGAACCTCCAGGACTTTTTCCCCACTGTGCCTATCCCACACCAAGATAGAGACGGTGTCAGAAAAAACTGGGAGCTTGCTATCCCCAAGATCTGAATTTGCA